CCCCCCCCGGCGCCCAGCTCCCCGTTATGGTGTGCCATCTGCACCTGCACGGGTGTGGGGCACATTCAATTTTTACAAACTCGCATCAATTTGGCATTGGTTGAAGTGATCCTGAAATCACTATCGCAAGGCTACTAACGAATGACAAAATATGCGAGGTTACATTTCACTGGGAATTTCATTACACAGATTATGAAATTTCAGTGCAGGTCCTCAATTATGCAAACAATATCGTACTTATATTTCATTACTAGCTTTTGATTTTTCATTACGCAAATCTTAAATTTCAAAACTTGTTGTACTGAAATTTCATTACCATTTCATGTAATGAAATTTCAAAACCAAAAAGTGATAGGAATTACAGTATCAAAAACTGAAATTTCAACCTGAATTTTCTAACAGTGGAGATGGTTCATATCGTCACTACTTTGAAAACACGGTCTGATTTTTTGAGGAAAAGGGGAAAACTTGGAGGAACTTTTGAGAATTTGAGAAAATGAGTGAAATTCTCACACTTTTTGAGGAGACTTCCTCAAAATCTGAGGAGTTTTTCCTCGTATATGGGAGTTCTTTAAAGCTTTTCCTTTTTCCTCAAAAAAAATCAGACGTTCTTTTACAAAAGTGGGAAAATAACTCTGTCAATTCAAATGTGTCCGTTCTACTTTAAATAAAGCGTACATAACATGTATACTTTAATTAATGTAGACAAGCCAATGTATGCTTTTATCAATTCGTGTATAGGCATGTACGTTTTCAGAAATATGTACATACCCATGTGTACTCATATATAAAAGCGTACATCATGCACGCATTAAAAAGCCTTGTACACTTTATTTAAAGTATACAATGTAGGTACACATTTTAATTGAGAGAGAAATTGAAACAAAATTAAGGCCCAAACCATGCTGTAGAGCCTCCTCTCCTGCGTCCTGCGTGCTGGGAGCGCCTGGGAGGTAGGCCGCAGCAGGCGCCCCTGCGTTGCGGGTCTGCCTGCCCTGCGGCTTGCAGGCGCTCTGCGGCACTCTGCGGCCGCTCCGTGTGTAACAAGCGCGCTTTGTTTTGCAGCGAGATGCACAAGCAGCTGTGCCCCGGGCGCGGCCTCTGCGACTCCATGAAGCCCATTGAGGGCTCGAGGCTGCTCAAGTACCTCCGCCGGGTCAACTTTACCGGTACGTATGATGTTTGCGTGCAAAGGCAGTTTCAAAAACGCATTCAGAGAAATGAAATGACAACAAACACACGACTTTAAAAAGAGGCGAAAAGAGTATTTGTGTTGTGGAGTAGAATGAATGTGCGCTGGAAATGCTGGAGTGGTGTGTCTCGCCTAAAAAGAGGGACGACATTTTTCGTTTGCCCAACAAGAACGATTTTCGTCGTCTCATTTAAGTGACGAGTATGGGAATATCGCTCCATTTGCGATGAGTGATAGTTTTAGATCAGTGACGGTCGTCATTCACATAAATCAACGTTCCATTCCAAAATCATCACTGAAATAAATAGAGCGACGAAAAGCAAGCGTCGCTCTACTTGAGTGAAGATTTAGGAAGTAATGCGTTGCTCCTCCAAAAGCGTGACTCGCGTCTTTTCAGTGTAGGGATGATGCAGCCTGTATTGACCCCGCTGACTGCTGCTGTTGTCTCGGTGGGGAGGGGTAGAGACCATCTGCGGTGCAGGGCACGTGACCGGAGTCTCCACCGCGTCGGCCGCGCCCCGCCCCGCCACGCCCTGCCCCGCCACACCCTGCCCCGCCCCGCCCGGCCACGGCCACGTGGCTTTAGCTGGGGTAAGGCCTTCCTGCAGGCCAAGATGATGAAGATCCTCGGACGGCGCAGGGGAAATTGGGCCAATATCAAAGGGGGGGAATCATCTTGGCAACGGCGCGATGCGACGCCATGCGGTTCAGCGGGGTCGGGGCGGGGCGGGGCGAAGGCAGGACACGGAAATCAAGATATCGCTACATTGAATCGATACGATCGGCTCTCGTTATTGGTGGTGTCGTTGGGTATTTTGCTCTCGATACCCCCTCCTGCTGCTGCTGCTGTTTCCTTCCCCCATCCTCCCCTCGTCCCCTTTAATATTCTCGGTTCCTCCCTTGGCTGTGCACATTACACCCGCGCTGGCGGCCGGGCCCGCCCCGCCCTGCGGGAGCGTGACACGCCAGTGAGTGAGCGCCGCGAGCGTCGCGAGCGCGCAGGGTGGGGGCGGGATGAGAAATAATATAGGGGACGTCAGGGGAATAAAAAGGGCCCAACTGGGCGGGGCCACCCGCGCGAGAGAGACGACGAGGAAGACGCAACTCGCCGAGGCAGAGGGCGTGAAGAAGAAGAGACCCCCGACCTGAGCCGCCCCTGCGACCGTGTATGAGCGGCAGCAGCAGGAGGGAAACAAAAGCGCCAGATGACGCTTCTTCTCGAAAACGCGTCCCGTCCCGTCCCGTCGTCGTGGCGCACCTCATTGTGCCGGAGGGCTTGGCCGGCAACAGGAGGGAGCTCGTCGCCAGGAAATGAAGGAGCTGGCGAACGAAGGAAGGGGGGGGGAGGGAGGGGGACAGTGTGCAGTGTCTGATTTTAAGCTGGTGTGGTGTGGTGGGAAGGAGGAAATTGAGAGCCGCGCCCGCGCCATCGTCTTCGCGACGCCGTGAAAGCGCGGGGGACGCCCGGGAGGAGGTGGGGGCCAGGGGCACCATGCATATACACACGTTTCAATCGTTGTAACTTGTAGTACTGCCGAGGCAGGCGTCCCGCAAACGGGAGGTGCGGCGAAGAGCGAGGACGACAGCTCGGCGACGACATCTCGGCGACGACGACGATTACTTTCGCGGAAGAGGGGAGAGAGAACAGACCGCCGTGCACCTACCTCGACGCCGTGTCGCGCCCACGTCCAGGAAGACTATGCCATGCCAGCGGCAGCAGGAGGAGCACTGCTCGGCAAACTATTCCCTCAACCCCTAATTATGTCCCGTCCAGTAAAACTCCCGGAAAACTAAAAACAAAACTGCTTCAAAACTAAGACATTTTTTCGGCAAACAAAAACAAGAGGATGAAAAATGGTGAAGAGGAAAAATTTAAAACCGGCTAAAACAGTTGCACTGGTTGCACTGCTTAGGCTCAGATTCGTGGTAGAACTAAATATGTTTTTTAGCGTACGCAGACAATATATAAGGACCGCGGTGCTAGGTTTTTTTTATTGCTATTTTTTTCTTTTCGAGGTAAAGGAAGGGGGGGAGGTCAAAATTAAGTGCCCCGGCGCGTACAGTGCAGAGAAGGGTAAAGGGCGACGGAGGGAGAGAGGGAGGTGTGAAAGGCGCGTGTGCTGAATGAATGTGAGGGCGGGGCAGGGCGGGGCGGGCCAGCAGCCATTCAAGAGCGGGCTCCCTGATTTATCGCCACACCTTGCTTGCTCACCTATGCACGAATTGTACCCCGGGTGTGGTGGGGCGTGGCGTAGCGGGGCGTGACGTTGGAAGGGACTCCGGTCGGGCCTTGGTCTGGTTGCCGAGTAGGGGAGGAGGCCGGAGGGGCGGCGGCCTCCGCAGCGCCGAGCCTAACCCGCGTCCTGGGGATTGACTGCAAACCGGAAACCTCCCAAGCCCAAGAGGTTGGGCCATCGAAACGCAGGCAGGGACGCGACGCGGGGGTCTCCGGGGCCGGGGGCGGCCAGCAGGGGCCCGGCGCATTTCGGCGTGACCAAATTTCGAATCCCGCGCCGCGTCCTCCGTTTCTCGCCGCTTCTTTCAATTTTACATTGCTATTCTTGTCGCGCCCCCGCGCCCTTTTCTTCTTGCATTTCTGGTCCCCCGCACCCCGTCTCTCTTATTCGGAATCGGAGATCGGAGCGGCCCGCGTGGCTGGCGGGGCGGGGCAGGGCGCGGTGTGGGGGGGCCGGGGGCGCCGGGACCTTTGATAAGTCTGTCGCCTGGGCAGGTCTTCGGAGAGGGGTATGG